GTTAAACCTCTTTTAATATAAACACAATTTGCTAGAACAAGAACACCTCAAATCAATAACATGCAACATTGAAAAAAATAACAATAGTTTAGGCACATTCTGGATATAACAGTATAAGACGGCTTTAATTTGATTAGTAAACCTTGCATGCAGCCGCAGATTCTCAAAAAAGACATAGTTGAAAAACAACAGAAGTTACCTCAAACACAAAGTTGGTTCATTTTGATGTTGCTTCTAGTTATCTAGCAAAGTTAATTTTTATCAGACAGCTTCGATTTTAATTTTATTGAATTCAGCATAAATAGACCCTCATTTTGATTCTAAAATCATGCATGCTGTTCGGTCTGATCAGAAAAAGTTAGATGGAAAACATTTATATGTAAGTGGGATTGGAACATCAACTCCTAACGGTACATGCACTATATGTATATAGATGCATCATCTTTACTATGGCAAATCCAAAACACACAAGGCTGGTCAATTCCATACATGAGTACCCTACGCGAAATAATAAAAATATGCATATAGAACGCTCTAAATCAAACGTGGTAAAAGTTAATCCCTCCTATATGGGAGCGATATTCTTTAATAAATTGCCATTTTTTATGAAGTATCACAAAAGACACTGTGCCACTATCCCCACCTAATGGAAAAGAAAAGTCACAAGTGTCACAAGAATTTAAGGCCAACTTCAGCTTAAGAAGCAAGAAAGTTTGAACAGTTAAAATAAATGACGTGGAATTGCCTTTCCACATAGCTTCTAACAATTTTGAAATATTTCCCTCTAAATGAGACACATAGTTCAGAACAACGCAAACATGCCGAAAATTGGAAAGAATTAGAAATTTGTAAAGGTATGCTTCATTTTATATGAGGTATTTTCATACCTTGAGATGAAGATGTAATAATTTGCTCAGAATCACTATCAGATGAAAGGTCTACAATATCAATGACATCTGTTGTCATCTTCCTTATTTTGGGCTTGATGCCATTTTCACTATCAGAATCTTGGGAAAAGACATAAATTATTATTTGCACTTACAAAGAATTCGGCTGTCTCAATATTATATGATTATTTTATGCTACACTTCAGATATTTTACCTTTCCTCCTTGGAGCAGAGACAGTCTTTCTCTTACATGCTGAGGGGACTTTAACAGCATTGCCAGTGTTGCTTAAGTTTGCCAGGGCCGCCGAAGCAGAATTTTTCACTAAAGAAGCCAAACGGAGAGAGAAGATTAGATTAGAAATTTAAAAGGGAGTTGAAACAGTAATAAGGGGAATGTATCTATATGCTTGAAAAATTTTGTGCTCCACTGCTTCTGATTCAGATCTAAAACGTCATTAGCCATTACAATAAAATTGACTGGGACTCAAAGATAATCACAACAAACACTATTATTATTACGTACCCTGTGCCGAGTTTTCAAGTTCAGATGGTGGAGCATCCACAGTAAGAGACTCATCTGCACCGAGGTGACCTGTAGGAACATAGTATCATGTTGTTTAATTCAAATTTATAATGCCTATTCAATGAATATTGTAAAATTTTAATTTATTTGGATTTACTAGAGGAGGATAAAACAAAATATGAGATCGATAGACTAAAGGCAGCTTCAATTACTTTGATACAAGGTTGGTTCAACAGACGTACCCTGTGCAGAGTTTTCAGGTTCAGGTGGAGCATTTACAGAAACAGACAGTTCACGTTGTTCGTTTCTCATTGAAAGGGCTTCACTTGCACCAAGGTTGAGACCTGTAAGAACACATCAGGTTGTGCACAGCAAAATTATAGTGCCTAAACAATTAAAATTATAACACATTTTTAATTTATTGGATTTACCAGATGATACAACTTCAAGTACTGCAACCTCTTTGCCAGCACTCCAGAGCTTTAGTAACGTATCCAAGATGCTATTTCTAGAGGCATAATCCCTCTCACCACTTTCAGCCAACACAGCACAGATAGCATCGGTCTTGGACTTGCTGTGTGTATACCTCTCATTCCATGTTGCAACTCTTCCTGACTGATAGCTTGACTTAAGTCATTCTGAAAAAGAGATAAATATACTATTAGAAAATAATATGCAGCACAGTGTGATGTCATCTCACACAAAAGTAGGAATAAGTATTACATTGCATTTATTTTTCTTTTGGAGATCAGCTACTTTTTTATCATACCAAATCCCCTTGTCAACGCCAGGGTTTAGGATGTGGTAGTTTCCCTTTGACATCCAAAGGGCCACCCTACAAAAGAACAGTATAGTGCCATGTCATCAAAATTAAATCAAAACTATGAAATAATAGAAAGTGTACTGCAAGTACCTTTCAACCAAGTCTTCTTTATTTCCATTGACTGGCAATCCGCGACATTTTAACCACCTCTTGAGAATATTAATGTTGTTTACCGCTATAGGCAATTGGGGTAAAACTGCTCCAGTGACTTCTTTGTCCATCAATTGTACAGCTTGAAAAATTTTGTTTGGACTGTCCGGTTCATCAACTTCAAAGCTATTGTCTGATAATTCCCCCTTGAGAGGAAATAGCAAATAAATTAGTGTCAATAATTTGGGAAACCATTGAAATCCATTAATGAACTGAACCTGGAACTTGAAACAGTTGAAACAGTAACTCACATTATCCTGCAATCTTTTTTTCCTCCTTTGTGGAATAGGGCTGGCAGTGCCGAATAAATCATCAGCTGAATCTTCATCACTGTGTGATCTTGCATCATTCGAATCTTCTTCTGTGGGTGGAGTCATCAGTTTTTTAACTACTTCCTTTTGAAAAGAAGGAATTTCTGGGTCATCAGTGGTGGTGTGAAGAAAGTCATCAGTTAAATTTCCCTGGCAGTTCAAGAGTAAGCCTGCACCATTAACGTCTTCTTCCGGGGGTGGAGTTACCTGCCTCGATACCATCACATGTTGAAAATATGATTCTCCCTGTTGAAAAAAAAAAGGTTCACTATGAAATTTTAATGTTGCTTAATTTCAGAGTGAAGGTAAATAAATGCATTGGTGGCTATCTTACAACTGCCCGCATTGAGCTCTGGCTTGTTGGTGACTGTGTCTGGGGATCAGGACAACTTGTGGTTTGACGTACAGGCAAAGTCTGGAACAATAAACCAGCAGATTTAAATATTTGTATTGGTACAGTAATAGAAAAAGAATGCGACACTGAAACTTCATTCAGTCCTACCGTTGGGATCAATCTCTGTTGCCATTTAATTTTCAATGGACTAACAGTACATTTTCTTGATACACCATCTGGCCTCATTATCGCATTGACTTGAGATTGAATCTGGTAGTCATTAGAAGACTGACTCGAGGAAGTCAACAGATAGGAAAAGCAAGTTCAGGTGAATGGTGAGTAGCAGGTTAAATGGCGCAGCAATTTTATTGCAGCCACGCTTATGGTGCCTGCGCGGGCATGGGCGGAGGGGGTAGGCAAAGCACAGCACTGTGGTGACCGCTCAGGAACAGTGAGCACTCGGCACATAAAAAAGAAATACTATTCATCACTATGCTTACCGGTCAAGTGGGCCTCGTACTCACATCTAAATGCGTTCACTGACAACGCCAACAGCCAACGCTCCGCTTCGCTCCGCCGGCAACTCCGTTCGGCAGGGGCCGGGCCTGCTTGGCCTGCCGGGGGCGATGGTCGGGCCTGCGGCCCGACTATTTCTGTCATACGATTTGCTGAAGAACATGATCGAATGATGTAGCGGGCCTTCGGCCCGCTTAAACCCGTCGTCTTTGAGTTTGCCCCAAAGACTCGAGAAAGGGATGTAACGGTGAAGCACCGCGACTACAACCCACCCTTCTGCTTAGAAAATGATTTTTGGGGTGGGGGAGAGTTTCTTTCCTATTTTGCGATTTTTAAGCCTTTTCTCCAACTAATTGTTCACTATGGCAATTTTTAGATTATTTTCGTCAAAAAAGACCCTCTAAGGCCTAAACGGTTAGAGATACAGCAAAACGGACGAAATTTTCGCCCAAAGGGCTCTACTTTCACAAGTTACCTCTTAGGAGATCATATAAAAAAAATATTTTTTTCAACTTTTTTGGCCTTTCCTGTTTTCTTCGATACCCCCTTTCAGTCCAGTCATTGTCCCTAAATTCGGACGGTTTTTGAGGAAAAACGCCTGTGACATCTAGAATTTTTGGATTCTGAAAAATCGCTGGGGATTCTAGAATCCTCACGTCGAGACGCACCTACCACTCACCGAAAATATTTTTTCGCGCGAACGGTATAGGGGTGAGGGCTGTTTGAATCGTGTCCGTATTTAGGAACCAATGATTATGAAAAGTGAAAATTTTTCGGGGGGTACAGAAACTTCATGAAAAAATTTGACCTTACCCTACCGTCCAAATTTTCGTATCTGGTATAGTTTAGTCGCCAGAACTGCTTAAAGATCGCTTTTAACGTGCCCTAAATTCGGACAGTAGTCACTTTTGCATGTAAAAGCCTATGTCCGAATTTAGGGCGCATTGCAAAAACGCTTCCCAATACTAAACCGTGCGACGAAAAATCAAAAACTTGGTGTCATATTGAAGATAAAAGTACCAAGTTTCACATATGTTGTGGTCAGAATAACCCGGGCTTACACTGTTCGGAGCCCCAAATTCTTACAAGACACATATAAAAACGCCTGTTTTGGGGGGCTAAAAATACAAATTCCAGGAATTTCTGGAGGAAGCAATATCACTCACACATTTATTATTTTGGCAGAAATGGAAACTTGGTGGTCTTACCTTTCCATCAAACCCATGGAAGTTAAATTTTGTCGACGCATTATGGATTTGGAGGCGACAATAGTGAAATACGGCACAATGTCCGTTTTGTTTTGTAGGAGTGAACCTTGAGATCCCCGGAAAATTTGAAGTCTCTAGCACATCTCCTTCTTGTGGAACAGACAGACAGACACACAGGCAGACGCGAGGTCGTTTGCATAAGCCCGCTGGATAGCTTCTTCAAAGCAGAAGGGCGGGCTAAAAATGGTGAACAACGAGTTGGCAAGTGAGTTGTCACGAGGTTGGGTGAGTATCTGCAAGTACGCGTAGGGATCATACGCAAACCACGTGACGGGTTTTTGGCGGGTTTTGACAAACCCCCTCCCCCCTGTGGTGGTCTGTGGTGGTTTCGGGGACCCCCCCTCCCCCCCTCCAATTTCACGAGGTTTTCAGCATATGTATTGTTTGACGTATTTACGACTACATAGAGCATTTTAACAAAAAGTGCATGTTTGCTGGTATTCAAAACTTAATTTAGTGGTGACTTTTCGATTAAACACCGTCAGATTTCAGCGATTTATCACGAAATAAACGGATTTGTGCTAGTGTTTTTCAAAAATATGCTTATTTTAGCAGGTAATTAATAGTCACGTGACTTGGCCGAAACACCCCCCTCCCCCCTGGTCCCTGGTATTGGTAAGTGGTGTTTTCACAGCCCCCCCCCCTCCCCCAAAATGCGTCACGTGGTTTGCGTACGATCCCTTACTTACACACCCACTCACACACCCACTCATACACCCACTCATACACCCACTCACACACTCACTCACACACCCACTCACACACCCACTCACACACTTACTCACACAACCACTCACACACTTACTCACACACCCAGGTATATTTTAGCCAATTCTCGCCAAAATCGGCGGGAAAAAATCGGAAAAAATCAGAAAAAAATAAGAAAAAATCGGGGAAAAAATTAGTAAAATCAAAAAAAAAAAAATTAAACCGTAGCCAGTGATCAATTTTAGACGATAAACAGCGATTTTAGACTACTTTATGCGGTTTCTGAAAATGCTGAATTCCCGGCCGATCGGGTGGGCATTATTGCCCTGGACAGTGGCACATTAGACCAACATGACGGGACCACGAGAACCCCTCGTAGACTATAAACAGCGATTTTAGACTACTTTAAACGGTTTGTGAAAATGCCGAATCATGGTTGTTGCGCCTGGTAGTTGTGCAAGAAAAGTTGAAATCTTTGAGAGGAACGCGCATAGTCAAATTTTTCGAAAATCGAAAATCGCCGGGACACGTAAGCTTTTAATTTTGACGTAGAATCAATTAAGACCCGGCGCGGAAAGACATATGTAACTTGACTTTTTCCTGGGACAGTCTACCCTACCGCGGCCCAACTACTCTTGGCGTGTGCGCGGCGCCTCTCCACCGGCACGGCTCCGGGGCCTGACGGTCTACCAGTAGAACTGTTCCGTTACGCCCCGGAGGCGTGCTCCGTCCATCTGGCGGCGCTGGTGCGGCGCACACTGGGAGGCCTGCTCCTTCACGGCGGCCTGGGTGACGTCGCTCCAGCACCCCATCCCCAAAGTGCCGCGGCCGCAGGCGACGGAGGAATTCCGCACCCTCTCCATGTGCGCGGCCGTCTATAAGATGGTCGCGCTCCACCCGTTGGATCTTCTGCAGACGGTGATCCCCCTACCCCCTCCCTGCCCTACTATCAGGGTGGATTCCAGGCCGGCCGTTCCACCTACGACCATATCTTTCTGGTCCGGCGCGTCCTGGACGCCTTCTGGTGGGTCTGCACCCCGGTTCACTTGCTCGCCCTGGGCATTAAATCTGCCTTCCCCTCGGTCTCCAAGGCCAGTGTGGTGCAGGCTCTGGTGGAGGCCGGGGCCCCTCCAAGCATGGTAAACAGGGTCATCGCCTTGGCCCTTACGGACAGGACCTACATCCGCGGGGACGCTCCGCTACGTCGGTGGTGCTTCGCGGGAGGTGGTTCGGCAGGGGTGCGGAGTCAGCCCCTTCCTCTTCCTCCTGGTGCTCCACATGGTGGTGCGCCGGGTGGTCGCTGGGCTCCCTCGCTTCAGTGTGGACTTCGGCGCCGAGGCGTTCGTCCCCATCCTCTGCGCCTACGCGGACGATGTCCTCGTCGTCTCCGACGACCTGGACGACATCACCGGGTTCCTGGCGTCGTTCCACGCCGGGCTGGCGGAGGTCGGGCTCGAGCTGAACCTGCGCAAGTCGGAGTACCTCGTCCGCAGCCAGGTTCCGGACCCGCTTCCCCTGCCCCGGGTGGCCCTCCTGGCTGGCATGGAGATCCCGCAGGTGAGCCAGCTAGTGGACCTGGGGGCCCTGCTTACGCTCACCACCACCCTGTCGTGGCAGCCCGGGTTCTACCATCGGGTGAGGCGGGCGCAAAACCTTCCTCAAAGACAGCACGACAAAGTTTTGACGCCAGAGGAAGCAGAGAAACGTTCTGCCAGAGCAAGAAGAGCTGCAGCTGGAAGGACAGTAAACAGGTTTGTTTTGAACTTCTTGTCAACTTTAGCACTACCAAATTGTTAATTGTTAATAAAAAAAAATCAGTTCTAGGGTTTTAGTTGACACAGAAGGTGAAGACGGGACTAATGCCACTGAAGATGATAATAACGTTTTTGAAGAGGAAGAGGAAATTCCTCTGCTTAAATCTATTCTGGATACTGCTACGCAAGTTAATTTAGCTGACACTAGGACTAGTCGGCCAAATGGTGAAGGAATTTCTCTTGCTAACATATTAAGTGACTCGTTTTCTCAAGAGAAATGTACTCAGGTCAACTTTTTACCACCGTGGAATGATGAAGATCACAGCCAACCAGCTCCCAGCATTACCCTGCCAACACTGCTGTCCACCAAAGAAAAACTGTTTACTTTCACTGGTCTCCATTCCCTTGAACTGTTGGATTGTTTAGCACAGTGTGTTGCAGAGATAGCTTTAGATGCACAAAGCAAGAAGAAACTGTTAACTGTTAAAGATAGAATTATTTTAACAATGGTAAAAATTAAACAAAATATGGATTTTACTGCACTAGGTGTTTTGTTTGGAATTAATCGTCAAACATGCTCAAATTATTTTAAGAATATGTGTCCGCTCCTTGCAAGAGTTTTAAAAGTAGTAATTCCATGGCCAGATCAGAGCTTAATTAGATGTAACCTTCCGCTGTCTTTTGATAAATTCAGAAGCACTAAAATTGTTCTGGACTGTTGTGAAGTTACTATTGAAAAATGTAAATGCCTAAAATGTAGAGTGTTGACATACTCTCAATACAAGAAAAATCACACTGTTAAGTTTAATATGGGTGTAGCACCTTCTGGATTAATAACAGAAGCTAGTTCTGCTTATGGTGGCCGAGCTTCAGACAAGCATATAGTGGCTGATTCAGGAATTTTGAATAAACTTGACTATGGAGATGCTGTTATGGTGGACAAAGGATACCAAATAGAAAAGGAGTGCTTGGAGGTAAGTTTTTAGCACACCAAACACTAAACAAAAACATAATGTGCCAAATGTATCTGAAATTTTTCCTTTTGCAGAGAAATTTGAAGCTGTTTCGACCACCATTCCTGAGTCAAAAGAAACAATTATCTCGAGAAGATGCTTTGAGTGGCGCTGAGATTGCAAGGGCAAGAGTTCATGTTGAAAGAGTTTTCCAGCGAATACGAGAATATGATTTGCTTTGTGGACCAGTACCTTGGCCTCTGGCCCCCTACTTTGAAGATGTGCTAACTATAGTTATGGGTCTGACAAATTTGGGTCCACCTGTAATGAACATTGACAAGTTTATGTCAGTATGTCATGCTAGTGCCAAAATTTAAATTCCAAAAACAATTTAATGTGATAAATTAATACCCTTGAGAATTGGCTTTGATAAAAACAAATAAATATTTGATAATTTCTAAATATAATTTATATCAATCTTGGTGTATTGGATTTATATTTGAATTGATATAGGGTTATTTAGCATTAGAACTAGTTGTTTGGAGTTGGAACTAAAGTGCATTTAGATGTGTATCAATCCAACTCTCTTGCCCTATGAGTCAGAAATAACCAACAGATAAATTTAGTTCAATTTTGATTAAAATAGATACAATTCTGTCCCTTAAATAAAGCTTTATCAAAGAAAAATTTGATATAAGTACATCTAAAGTAGTGTAATACCAAATAAAAATAGATAAAAGTAGATATATATGTTGTCTTATTAGATATAGGCCATCAGTGGAACTAGTATTGATCTAAAATGAGTGGTGTAGATAAACAGCAGATAAACATAGATAAATGTGGAAGGGAATGGCAGGGATTGAGAAGCACTAAAAGATTAAATTTGCTAAGAAACAATGTTTATTACAAAAGATATCTCAGGAAAGATAGCAATCAAAGAACATAAACTCTCACCTGTGTACTGTAGTTTTTAAAAAGCTAGTCAGGTAACAGTATTAAGATCAAATGAGATCAAACAGTCTCAATAAAAATTAAACAAATTAAACATTCTTCCAAATACACCTGAATACTGAGACCGGATAAGATCTCAGGAAAGATATTGATAAAAGAAAATATAAATTCAACTAAGCTGTGAACTGAAGTTTTTAAAAGCTAGTCAGGTACCAGTATTAAGATCCAAGGAGATCAGTCTCATCAATAAAAAATTAAACATTCTCCCAAGGTAAGGTATTTAAAGGAAATAAATACACCTTGAATAATGAGACCAGAAGATCTCCGAAAAGATATCGATAAAAGAAAATATAAACTCTCAACTGAGCTGTGTACTGTAGTTTTTAAAAGCTAGGTAGGTAACAGTACTAAGATCACAGGAGATCAGTCTCAATAAAAAATTAAACAAATTAAACATTCTTCCAAGGTAAGGTATTTGAAGGAAATAAATACACCTTGAATATTGAGATCAAATTAGAGAAGTAAACAAAATAAAAATAATCATTGACGCACCCAAACTAAGGGAACTGAAGAAGTGAAGTGGGAAGTGAAGAGTTACTACTTAGGTGTCCGAGCCATCGCAATCGTAAGCAATGTATAGAATTCTCCACACTTCAAAATAAAACAAACAATTAGGGGAGAGGGGACCCAAGTAGCAACTATGATGAGAACAGCAGGTTACGAACCATCATCCTTGAACTTGTGGACAATGTTGGAAAAAGAATTCTTCATCTTGGCCTCTCCAACACGGGGACGCCAGCTTTTCTTCTCATTCTCCAGGTTCCTGGCTCGTTCTGGAATTACAAAAAAAGGGTAACATAGTTAACACAAAATACAGTTTTAGTTCACAAGATACATTGACAATCAGATTGTCATTCACTGAGACAAAATCAAAACACCTGGCATTAGATTTGAAATCTTCAGATTAAATTAGAAGACTTACCCAAAATTGCTGAGCGGCCATCGGGGTGAAGTCTTGGAAGTGCTGCACCACAGTGCTTGCGTCCCTTGGATCTATCTGAATAACCTAATGGTGTAGCATTGACAAGTGCATCCTGAGTGTACACTTTAGGGGTAAGTTGTCTGATAAACTGAGTAACAGATCCTGAGTTACTGAGTGCATCGTTCAAATCAGATTCTTTAATATACACTTCGTACGGTTCTTGCAACTTAACCGCCTGCAAACAGAAAGACAAAGTTAGACATATGCAAAACAGACAAAGCAGAAAGTAAACAACTCTTATAAGGAAACTTACGCCTGGTGTGGTAGCACTGCACAGGTAGTTGCATGGCTCATAAATCTTGGAGTTCCTCTTTTGGGCTGTGACCCTTCGTTTCTTGCCTCTAGACTTCCTTTTCCTCCTAGAAGACTCAGAGCTGTCTGAAGAAGAGCTGCTTGAGGAGCTGCTACTATCATCCGAGCTGGATGAATCACTAACATGCCTTCTCGATTTCTTTCGATGACGCCTCTTCTTTCTATCTTCAGACTCCGAGGAACTATCAGATGTGGACCTCTTGCGTGATCTCTTGCTTTTCTTCGACTTCTTGTGGCTGCGACCCTTTCTCTTTCTCATTGGAGATTCGTCACTGGAATCATCTGAATCATGGTTCTTGATGAACTTCACATTCTTATCTTCACATATGGGCTCAGGAAAGACAGGATCAGTACCACCTGAGGCTTGCCCGGCAGCAATAGTTGCTGCAACAGACTGCTCAATATTCAAATTTTTCAGGGTAGCTACTTGGTGAGAGTCCTGCAATAAAAACAAATTAGATATAAATTACGAAATTCAAATGTAAATTAGATAAAGGTAGATATAGCTGTAGGTTGCCAAGGATCGTACCGAAGTGGGCTTGACATCACTGCTGACACTAGAGGTATCACTTGCGCCATGATCAAGATCACCGCCATGACCATCACTCAGCTGTTCACTCTTGATCATTGTTCCAGCAACAATAACACCACCAGCCTACACAAAAAAAATAAAAAAATAAAATAGGATGTGATAA